GAGTCTGGAACTAGGCTGTACTTCTAGACCTAATCCAGATCTCAGCTGGGTCCTGAAGGGTTCTAGTGTCCTTTTTACAAGGAAGATGAGATGAAGAAGCCAGTCTCTCTCATCTCTCCTCTGTGCGTCAGTGCAAGACAGTCAGCTGCACTGCCTCTGGTGTTGGGGTTTTACCACTCCCAGCCCCACCACACTCAGAGGTCAGGGAGAAAGATTCACTGAGCCTGGAGTACTGAACACCAGGTCTTGGCTGAAATGTCATACCCATCCAGAAAAGGCATTTCCTGACCTCCCTTCAGATAGCCTGCTGGCCACTGATGTCACACCATCATGTTTTTATCTTCATCAGAGTACTTGTCCCTAACGGATATTTTCGTATTTATTTATCTGGGGGCAGGGGGTTGTTTTGTTTTGTTTTGTTTTTCTATTATCTCTCTTCCTCCCCACTCTCAATAGCGTAAAGTCAGCTCTATGGAAGAGCAACTTCATCTGTCTGGTTCAATGCCACATTCCCAGCACCCAACACAATAGAATCCTTGCAGGCACTCATCAAATGTTTGTTAAATAAATGAATGGTGGTGAAGGGGCAGCTTCAGATCCTCTTTCTACACCTCAGCGGGTGCCTGTCCTAACTTCTCTACAAACACAGCCCCTTTGCCTGCAGCATTAATCGGATTAAGATGTCTAGTGGGGGAACTGACCAGACATTTAAAGGCAGTCTCTGTGTCTCTTTCTCAGGTTTCCCACCTGAGTGTTGATAGGGCTTTACCTTTTGGGAGAGGTCTGTGATACTCTTGAACTTCACCTTCCCTTTAATGAAACAAAATCGATCATCTTCTAGGCCAATATTTCTACCATATTTCCACAACACACAAAACATACACACAGAGTTCTCATCTAGAGTATTATCTGCTTATTATTTGTTCAGCTACAAAGTTGCACTTTGATTCCTATTCTGTTTTCCCCCTGTGCAAAACCTGGGAACCCTGTAAAAAATGAAGGTGGGGATGTTTGATAGGGCAAGATGGGGGAATTCCAGGACACCAAGCCATAAAACCATTAACATAGACCCAAACACGTATCTCTAATGCTTCACTATCTCTAATACTGAAATTTGATCATCATTTGCAAACCAGATCTGATGTGATGTGGTAGTTGGTAGTTTTGCAACCTGTGTGTGGAAGTGTATTGTCCTCAGTAGATTCCCATCTCAAACTTGGCACTTAAAAACCATCACTATCACCACTTCCCTCACAAAGAAATTATCACCTATCAGATTAAGAACAGCTAAAGGGAATGACTCATGCCCCGATCACATCAGGAACTCTGGACATGTATCATATGGCCCAAATAAGGGTGGAAGGACCAAGGTGGGAGGGGATGGAAGTCTTTGCCCTCAGAATCCAACACCACCACCCCTATTCCTGTCCCTACTTAGTACCGTCCCCTTAGAAAGAAAGGCTTTATGTTGACACCCCATCCATAAGAGCAGACTCATCTTAATAAAACACCAGGACTGCCACTGGTATTATCCTGACTTGTGGTGTGTCAAAGATTGTTTACAGTCATATTGAGTAGTAAATTCTACCTGCCCTAAATAAAATGGGCTCTATGGCAAAGCTATGAATTATTTCAAATCTTACAATTCTTTGGATATTTATCCATGGAGAATATATCTGTGGTATCTTAATAACTTCCCTAACTGCAATATTTGCAATTAATGAAGGATGAAGTGATTTTCCAAAAATTTAGGTTAGCCAGATATCCTGAAATCAGTGATAAACATACCTACCATACATTATCTCCTTAATATATGTCAAACTCCAATTCGTCTGAAATAAAATTTTGTATAATTGAATATTGCTTGAAAAAAATAACCCAGGAGGGACTTAAACATTTTTGTCCTGATGATGCTTTATGATGATGATGATTTGATTTATACTATTTTTATTTTTATTATATTTCAAGCTGTACAAAATTATTAATCTTTATGAGAGGCCACAAAATAGGCTTAAGGGAAATTAAGAAATAAAATCTTAATGAACATATTTTCATAAAAATATATTCTGAAACTTTTGATAAATTCAAATCCAAGCAATCAAGATATACACAAGTAAAATTTCAATCATTTTTACAATCATAATCTAGTATGCTAAAACTGTGTTTGAGATAAATATGTATAAAGACTTTCTTGAGAAAAAATAGCAAGGCAAAAATACCCAGTAAATAGCCTATTACAATTCACTGTAGACAAATTGACATATGATGTGTAGTTGACCTCAACCCCTGGAGTTGGACTGGATAACTTTGCATTCTGTTCCAGCAAGAAAATTCTGCACAATTACAAACATGCAGCGTGGGGAGCATGTTTTAAAATTTAGCACTCAATTTCATTGGGAGTATGAAATGGCCTCCTACCAGCTTCAACATAAAACCTGAGAGAACAAAAGATGGTGAAGAATCCGCCTACAAAGTGGCAGACCTGGGTTCAATCCCTGGGTTGGGAAGATCCCCTGGAGGAGAGCATGGCAACCCACTCCAGTATTCTTGCCTGGAGAATCCCAAGGACAAAGGAGCCCGGTGGGCTATAGTCCATAGGGTTGCAAAGAGTCAGACACGACTGAGCGACTAAGCACAGCACCCTCACACTCACCTACCACTCCCTACCACAAGGCAGCCTATTTAAGGATCCTGTTTGGGTTAAAATAAAGGGTGAACTTATTATTTTAAAATACTGGGGATTCCAAAGTCTAATGCCTTGTTATTTGCATATATATGTTCATTGTTGAACTGTAAGGTAACACCACATGTGACTCTACAGAACTTAATAAATGATCAAAACAGAAGAACAGACCACCCTTCCTAATCCTTACAAGATTTCATAATTCTTAGAAATTTGAGTTTCTGCATCTCTGTTTCTAGACTTAAGGAAAGACAAAGCTGTTTCTGAAGAGCCAGCTAGTTCAATGAAAACAAAGAGACTGAGAGAGGTATTGGGGAAGGGTGTCGGGGGATGGTTGAAGGAAAAGATTGCCTTTGAACTCAAGAGTCTTCCAAACTATAGTACATCTGCATTATTAACAAGTACAGGCCGGATTGTGAACATGTGTGGATGGTCCCATCACTGAAAGTATTTGATCGTATGTATCTACTGAGGAAGCCTGACAGTGCAGTAGCTGGTGCGGGTCAGAGGGTTAGAAGTGTAGGATCAGGGGCTCTATTTCTGCCCTGCTGGGAGGCCTGGCATGCTATAGTCCCTGGGGTTGCAGAGTCTGACAGGACTGAGCGACTGAACTGAACTGGGGAGTTTGAGAGAGCTGCTCCCTCTCCCACGTCCCTCCACCTCTTCAGTAAAATGTGGGTTGTAATAATAACCTGTCTGACAAAACTCTTAGAGGCTTTACTGATAATAGTGATAATAAAACACTTGTAAAATTTAAGTGTCACAGAAATGCTCAATTATTGGAGCCAGTTTTGCCTGGGCAGTCAGTTTCTCTTCTGATATCTTTTAAAACATGTTCATGGGTGTGACTCTTTTCACAATGCCAGGGAGTCAGTGGCTTGAACAAATTATTTCTAGCCTAAGAAGGGCAATAGGAAATGCTTTAATTACCCTGGTTGGGCTCATGAAATACTTTCACTTAATACTTTCATTGTATCTGGGAAGATAAAAATCATTCCCATTTTATAGAAAAGGAAACTGAAGCCCAGAAGTGTTCACCAACTTACTCAAGGTCATCTGGCCAGACTAGAATTCAAGTTTTCTCACTCCTTGCACTCTTTCCTTACTCCTGGCACTCTTTTGTCAAAATGGGACAGAAAGGCAATTAATTGATAGATTAGCCTTATTTATTTCTGCTCACATGTGTTGAATACTTGCTATATTTCCATCATTAACTCATTTAATTTCCTAATTATGAAGCAGGTACTGCTTCTTAAGGAAACGTTCACTGATTAGTTCAACCAGAAAGAGAGTTCCTTCTACTAAAGTCACACAGCATAACCCTTACAATGCTCTTCTGATACACATCATGGACAGTCTTCTGTTTTAGGTAAGTTTTCACACACACACACACACACACACACACACACACACAACATTATGATGTCCTCAAAAATAGTAATCATATCAATCTTTGAGGCTCATGGCACTCAGAATGGTGCAGAGTGCATTCAGTTCAGTTCAGTTCAGTCACTCAGTCGTGTTTGACTCTGCGACCCCATGAATCGCAGCATGCCAGGGCTCCCTGTCCATCACCAACTCCTAGAGTCCACCCAAACTCATGTCCATTGAGTCGGTGATGCCATCCAGCCATCTCATCCTCTGTCGTCCCCTTCTCCCACCTTCAATCTTTCCCAGCATCAGGGTCTTTTCCAATGAGTCAGTTCTTCACATTAGGTGNCAAAGTATTGGAGTTTCAGCTTCAACATCAGTCCCTCCAATGGACACCCAGGACTGATCTTCTTCAGGATGGACTGGTTGGATCTCCTTGCAGTCCAAGGGACTCTCGAGAGTCTTCTCCAATACCACAGTTCAAAAGCATCAATTATTCAGCACTCAGCTTTCTTCACAGTCCAACTCTCACATCCATACATGACTACTGGAAAAACCATAGCCTTGACTAGACAGACCTTTGTTGACAAAGTAATGTCTCTGCTTTTTATGCAGAGTGCATTACCAATGCTCAATTAATATTTGTTGCTTGAATAATTACAGGTATGTGATTTTTTTGAAAAAATACATGGATCCAAGTTCCATAGCAATAAATATTTCACATTACAGAAAAATGAGAAGTCACAGAGCTCCAATTATTTTAGTAAACACTACATTAGCTGATTACATTTCTTCTTACCATTACTTTAAGTCTCAGCGATACCTTAGAAATGTATATTTTCAAGGCTCAGAATTTGCCATTGGAAAATCATTCTGCTATGCACAACAAGTATCTCTCGTGTGGCTGATCTGCTCACCCAAGCCTCTTTGCCTGATGGCTCCTTACCTGATAACATATTGTCTGTTTTTATTGAGGGAAACTTCAAAGTCATTTCATGCTTGTGCCTATGAATCATCAGATGGTCCTCTGTTGGGAAGCGCTGTCAGACAAAATAAAAAAGGGAGAGAGGAGAGGAGCCATTCAGTTTTATCATAAATATTTGCCATCGCAGAGAAAAAGATTTACTCGGCATTGTAAACGTGACAGGCAAAACAAGAGGTTAGTTCTGAAAAAGTGTGAAAGCATGGTTGGTTAAGTAAAATGACAAATTATTTTATGCAAGCACATGTGCATTTATGTCACATTCTTCCTTTGGGAAAGAATTACATGTCATGCCTAATTATGTGCTCTATATCTACAAATGTACCCCAAGACATCTGCATACTATGTTTCTGTATATGAAGATGTTGAACACTGATTATCTCAGTAATCATAATTATATATATGATATATAGTAACAAGACAAATTGCTTTTAATGGTCTATACTCCCTAGTAAACCAACACTTTAGTTTTAATTTTCAGAGAATGACACTATGATTGTCAAAATGCTGTGCCCAAGTGTATTCAATTGGCTGGCTTCAGGTCATATGATGGGATTAAATTTCCTGGCCCTCTTCCGGTTTGGTGGGGCCATGTGAGTGGTTCTGCCCACTGAGTCATGAATGGAAGTGACACGTCACCCAGATGTGAGCATCAACTTCCTGGGGCAAGATCCTTTCCCTTTTAGCATGGCCATTCACAGTGGCCCCTCAATCATCCTAAATCTCTGGAGGATTAGGAAGAGCATTTCCAAATTCTAAAAAATTATGACAAATTTCCTGTCAATCTATAATTGAAATGTATGCTTGGGCAACTGAAATCAGTCTTTACTGTGTCAAGTCACTGAAGCTTTGAGCTGATTTGTTATTGCAGCAGATCCTAGCTTATCCTGACTCAAACTGGTACATTTTAATAACTAAAATTAACTAAGTATTTGACTTATCAAAGTCAAATGAAAATACAACAAAAGACAATTAAGTCTGCTAAATATTTCTTAGGCTTTGACAATTTAGAAAATCTTTCAGAGCATCCCAGCTCCACAGGATAGTGGCTACAAATTTCAATTACCATTGTATACTAGAATAGAAATCTTTTCTGCAAATAATATAATTTGTATTCAAGGGAATGAGAGGATTCACTAGGCTAAATTCATTGGAATATTTCAAAAGTTCTTTAAATAAATATCATTCATTTCTTTGTCATTTGTATAACATAAATTGGAGAGTATAGAAGGTGCAAAGCATGGTGATAATGCCAGATTTCTGAATACACAGAAGTCTCCATGACATGTGGCTTTTTCCTGCAGGATCATCTATTTTCTTGGTCCTCTAACACCACAGTAGAATGACTGCATCAAATATGTTACAATACCATGTGTGACTTAGACACATAGATTAAAATTCTTAAAGTCTTTCTGTCAAAAGCCTTATCATAATTTTTCTATAATATATAACCAAAAAACCACATGGTAGTAGGCTTCGTGTGCAGCCATTTGGGCAGCCATTTTTGGATCCATAAAACAATAGCCTAAAATAGGATACAAACAGAAAAAAATAGAATATAAACTTATTATGTACTAAAAATAATTTCCATAATATATCATAGTAACTATAATTATCTTCCAAAAGAGACAATATAGGATATCTTGGATTTTCTTTTTACATTTGGTAGAAAAGAAAAACGAAAGTTAAAGTGTTAGTTGCTCAGTTGTATCTGACTCTTTACAACCCCATGGATTGTAGCCCACCAAGCCCCTCATTCCATAGAATTCTCCAGACACAATACTGAAGTAGGTAGCTATTCCCTTCTCCAGGGGATTTTCCCAACCCAGGGATGGAACCCAGGTCTCCTGAATTATAGGCAGATTCTTTACCATTTGAGCCTTTCCATAATACCTCATATTAACTGTAATAATCTTCCAAAACAGACAATATAGGATGTCTTGAATTTTTTTTTTTTTTTATGTTTGGTAGGAAAAGAGCAGCAAATTATACATAGCCAAAATGTACAGACTGCAAAAGACACAGAGCTGAGAGAGGCCACTGGAACTTAAAACATGGTTAATGCAGAGAGCAAAGGAACACTGAAATTAACACTGGACTCTGTGAGATTAGAAGGAACACAGGAAACTTGTCTCTCCTCACTTGTGGGACACAGTTAATTTATAAGGAGTCATAACACATACACAAAAATCTCCCAGATATTACGAGCTATTCCTAATACAGCAAAGGTTCTTTCCAATTAGGGAAAAGGGTGGGGGAATCCATCCATCACCTCCAACACAGTGCAAGCACTAATAATCCATTCTTACTTCCATTTCCAATTCCCAGCCATCCTTTCTTCTCCATGCAGGTTCCCAGACTATGGAATGAGGCTAAAGTAAATGTCATGATAGACTGATTCCCTAACACCCCACCAGGAGACCCTTGGTATCACTGACCAACCACTATATATTCTTAATTCTAATTTCTTTTCAATTGAAAGATGCTCATATTTTTATAACAGCTTGTCAAGAAAAAACACTTCCACATTAAAGAGAGACATCAAGTTGTAGGTTTATCTTCACATTCAAATTTAGAGGGTGTTGAAAGAAGAGGCTTGGACTTTTACTTTAAAACCAAGAAACTGTGCAAATTCTCATTTCTCATGTTTGTCCAACTATTTCATCAGTTCACTCAGCCTTCTCAAGGAAATGAATGACCTGCTTTCAGTGAAGCTGAAGATCATTTGAAATGCACCCCTTCAACCTTTATTATCACCTCCATCTGAGAATCTGCATTAACTTCATGGGTTCTATTTCTGTTCTCCCCTGTCTCGGAGAAATGAGCACCCCCATCCTTCACAGGATCCTCTACACCCCTATCTCCTGAGGATGGACAGTCAAGCTGTGATCCTTCAAGTCCGCACGCTCACTCCTCCTTGCCCTCGACAAAACCCAGCCTGGAGAGCCCTGACTTTAAAAAGAACCTTTCTCAAGCTGCTTCCTTCTCGGGCTACCATTATATCACTCTGCTTTCCGTCACTCCCTAGCACTCTTGAAAGACTCCTCTATGCTGGCCACCTCCACTTCCTCACCACCCACTCGCTCGCTAATCCCTTCCAATCTGGCCCCCAACCGGACTCCTCTCTCATAGGTCGCCGGCAGGCACCCAACTGCCAAACCCAAGAGCCCTGCTCAGGCCTCTCGCTATCCCAGCTCCAGCAGCATCTGACACCAGTGACTGCACGTCTGTAACATTTGTTTATTTATACCCTGCCTGATTCCAAGAAGGAGAAAAGATGGCTTGTAGCAATACCTAAAATAGAAAGGGAGAGCATCAGGAAGAAGTAGGTGATCCTCCAAAAGGAAACAGATCCAGAAAGAAACAAGGTTAAAGCTGAAATGCAAAGCATTGGGTTGTCGCTCTCAACAGGGGCAGTTTAGCCCCCAAGGGGACATTTAGTAATGTCTGGAAACATTTCTGGTTGTTACAAGTGAGGAGTGCTCATGGGACCTAACAAGTAGAGGTCAACAATGTTGCTAAGTATCCCATAGTGCACAGGGAGGGCTTCCCCAGCAGCTCAGTGGTTAAAGAGTCTGCCTACAATGCAGGGGACACGGCAGGAGCCATGGGTTCAATCCCTGGATCAGAATGAGCCCCTGAAGAAGGAAACGGCAATCCACTCCAGCATCCTTGCTTGAAAAATCCCATAGACAGAGAAGCCTGGCGGGCTACAGTCCAGGGAGTCGCAAAGAGTCAGATGCAAATTAGTGTCTAAAACAACAACAGCAATCCTTTAAAAGCGCATTTTCTTAGTTACCCCCATCACAAAGGCAGAATTGTGACTGAGATTGAGCTTGTTATCACTCACAGACACTATCTGAGCCTTTCCATGCCAAGGACAAATGGAAACTTTCTTTCACTAACAAGTAGTTCGCAAAGGCAGCAACTTAGCGACTAAACACCACCACAACAGTGCATAGGGAGGCCCCCTAACACCATCACAACAAAGAATCATTCAGCCCCAAATGTCGGGAGGGTCGAAAATGGGAAATTTCCACCACACTGTCCAACAGCCACTGTGCACTTTTCTGACTTATCCAAATGCTGGATGCAACTAAACCTTCCTTAAAGGCTCTCTCTACCACCATTCACAACCCTGGAATATCCTGGAACCCTAACTCTCCATGAATCTTCTTTGGCCTTTGGTAAATCTCTTGAGGATCCCTTTCCTTTAAATGCACCTTCTGCAGAGGAAACCCCATTCTCCTCTCCCAAGTAAAGTAAAACCCCCTATGATATTTTTCAGGGTGACCTGTGCTCTCCTTTCATAGAAAATTGCAGTTCATTAATTAATTGACGATGTGATCATGTGTTCCACAGATGACAGTTAGGCTAGAAGCTCTGTGGGGGCAGGATGCATGTGTTTTATTTACACAGCCGACCCCTGGAAAGTGTGTTGAGTGTCTCAAATTGAACAAAACTTAATGACACATTTTCACAGCCAAAGCAAAGCAAACTACTCAAATAACTGGATTTTTTCTGGCTATCAAAACTCCTCCTTAAGAAAACTAGGTGGAAATCAGTTTTAACTTAGATAAGGGAACTTTCTATTTCACAGTGGAGAGTCATGGTCTAGCAGAATTTTATCCGGTACAACAAGCTATCTGTGTCTTCCCAGTGTTTCCTATTTCAAAGGGACCTTCAAAACCAGCCCCAAATAGTTGAATTTCAAAATAATTCTCTCTGCTGCTTTCCTTATTTGTAGAGTAAAAACCAGCGTTCACACAAAAGCCCTTGCAGAATCTACTAGAACCCAAGCAAAGGATGCTGGTTTCTTAGCCAGTGTCTGATGTCACCAGCAGCATCACAGGGCAATAACATTTCATGTTCCCATGGCATCTTCCCCCCAGGAAGCTTCCAGAACCCTCCTCACACTCTCTGGGGAGATAAAATGAAAGGGTCCTTAATGGACGTCACCTCTCATTGACTCACAGACATGGTTCCATACTGTGTCACCAATCCCACAATATAAACAGACAAAAATATGGGGCTTGATTCCACTTGAAACTACTGGGCATTTTAGAGAAAGAAGAACATAGCTAACCACATGCCTGTGCTCTGAGTTCTAAGCTTGCTATTTATCCCATAAAGTGAAGATCTTGGCGTGAGAGCACCATGTATAGTCATTTTCCAATGACTAGAACTTGGAGACATCCAAAGGGTCGAGAGTAGAAAAAGTCTCCATCAAGTTCCAAAGGGAAAATGCCAGACTCTGATTTTAGATGATGGATGTTTCCACTTTCTTTCAAAGACAGGGGTTCTAGTATAGTAATAGCTGAAGTCTTGATAGCAACAGTGGACCTTAATTGAGCACAATGTGCTGGTCCTTCACTAAACACTCTACACATAGAACCTCATCTAAACCTCACATCTAACCCACTTGATAGGAACCCTGGAGGCCACAAGAGGGTTAATCCAGCACAGCAGGCCAACTTGCTCTCTTAAAGATAAGTGGGAAAACTGTGGGTTCTAGAAGAGTCTAGGAGTTTTATTTTACTCAAGTGGGAAAACAAAACAAAATCAGATTCAGTCTCTGATGGTGAGCTATTTCACCAGTAATCCAATGGCCCAGAATTTAAGCAGCTATTGTCAAAGCAGGCACCCTCTTTCCCCCAGTCTGAAATATCAATCCTGAACATCTGGTGGGCAGGATTCGGCTGGCTTACTTCCCGGGGAAAGTTATGGGGGGAAAATAGCCAACACCAATGTATCACAGAGGCTGGGCGGGAAGTAGTTCAAACTATTCAAAGTGGAAAATGATGATGATGGTGGTGGTGGTGGCAGTGGTGAGAATATCTGGGTATAAGAAGGAAAGCCAGCAGCAGGCATGATGGCCAAGTGAGAGGTGCCTCCCTGTGGGAAGGCACTGCGTCCCCTGCAGGCAGAGCAGAGGACCCCCCACACTCACCTGGGAGCAGCCTGGGGCACTGCAGACAAACGGCCTCTCCTGCTCCAAATTCATCTTGGATTCCTCATAAATCTGAAGGGTCAGGGAGAAAGGGAGGAAGGAAAACAGAAATTCATGAATATCTCCTGCTTCTACCTGAGAAACATGAGAAAAGCAGTGGTTCAGAGCCCTCTCCTCTGCTAATTCCCGCATTAGATGAGGAAAACATGAACACGAACAATAGGTCCTGCCTGGCTGAGGTTTATTAGGCTCCCTGAAGTCTGAGTTCCTATTATATTTTCTCGAATGCATATTTACTGCACTTTGAGGGGAAAATTGCCAACAAAATGCAACTCTAAAAATGTCTGTTACAGCAGAAATTCTGTCTGTAATAACACCCACCAGGTGTTATTTCCAGGTAAGACCCCTCACCTGTGCAGGAAGGTTCCTAGGCAAAGATTGCATCAGTCCTTTGGGGTTGGCTGCTTAAGAGAGCAGGAGGAGGGTAGTAACTGGGCAATCATCAGTGTGAGGACCAACCCTGAACATCAAGTCAAATGATTCTCCCATGATCACCCCACTAAGCTGAGTATGAACAAGGTAGCCCTACTGCCAGCTTAGCAAATGACCCTGGCGGTGAGCCACAGCCTTAACTTCCCTTTCATTTCAGGCATTTGATGATACCTCAACAAAAACTATCCAAGTTGTGCAAGGGTGAAATCAGAAAATACAAAAAGCATTACCTTAAATATTCCGTCAATTTGGTTTTACAGGCTGATTTGAAATTAAAATTAGATTAAAGGGACTGCCTCCCTGATCTACATAAGTTATCTGGAATAAGGTAGCTTTGCAGGGAAAAACCTTATGCTATGATCACAGACATATGTTAAATTATAGTGGGGTCTTTTCTTAAGTAGGGCTTAGGTTCTAAGGTAAGTTCATTAGGCAAAAATCAAGTATAATCAAAATTATCTCAGCAAATCCCCCCCAAACCAATAAAAGTACAGTATACATGATTGTATAGTTACTAATCTATATAGCAACATAATTTTTTTAATATATCATAAGAAGTACTATGCAGTTGAAGTTCCACAATTTAAATAGTTTTCTAAATCATAATTTTCTTTTTGCCAATTTGGAACTAAGTTTAAATAAGCTCCACATGCTGCTGGTGGGACATGGCTTTATTATAGAACTAATACCTACTGTTTTGTCTCTGAACAAAGGAAGTGATGTGCCTCCTTAAAATGCTACTTGTAAGTGATTCCAAGAGTCTCAAGTCACCTTCACTCTTGAAAGAGGAAACTCGGCTTCACTCATGGAATAGTTACCCTTCATCCAAGAAAACTCTATCATCTTGCAAAAAAAAAAAAATTTAATTTGTACATCATTACACCCTTTCCCAAACACTAATATATCCACATATATTCTTTGGGAAATAGAGGCATACTTTCACTTTTCTGAAACACAAAGGGAAAAAGACTTGCCTTAGATAACAATCCCAGTCAGATATTAAATAGAAAACAAATTTTACAATGTAAACTCTCTTCACATAACTATTCATCCTCATCATACAACTTTCAGCAAGTAATATCCTTTCCACTCTCCATTTGAAATGACTAGTCACCTACCAAGGCAGTAATGTAGCATAATTTTACAGCTTTATTGTTTTATGCATATTATTTTTTTTACCCTATTATATTTAGATGAAGAAAAAATACAAATATCTTTAGAAGATTTTTACTTGTTCTTGTCTGAGCAAAGTCATGAGCAACTAAAATGACTTCTCACATCTCATTGTTCAAAGATTTTGCCATCACTTATCCTAGAACATCCCTCCTCATCCCTGTGAGCGCTGACAACTTACTTCTAAGCCTCCAAATAAAGAGTGACTTTAACACTGAGAAAATGATTTTGATCCAAGATAAAACTAACAGCAAGGCAATTGGGTTATCCATTAATATTAAATATGCCTTGGTTTTCTAGTGAACTTTTTAAAACACTTTCTTGGAATGTTTCTATCTCTGTGTCTATGATCTGCCTGACCATTACCAGGTCACTCAACTGTTTCATACCTCAATTTCCCGTCCTTATAATGGGAATGTGAATATCAGTCTTCAGCTCCTTCATCCCTGTGTCACATAGACCAGTTAGGGATCCTTTTACAAGTTATGGAGAAAGGTCTGTGTATTTAAGTGTGTGTGTTTGGAAGTGGTGGGAGGAGATTTTGTGGACAAGTATTATAGAACCTCACTCTAATATTAACTATTCCTTACATATAAAACAGAAGTTGCTATAAGGTAAGTCTTTCTTGGACATCATTTAAGAACTTTAGCTGCTAAGGTAACCAAAGAATGCCAGTATTAGTCAACTTATTAACCAATATTAAGATTACATGACAGTAAAATGAAAAAGTTCAAGAAGGTGCCATATAAATACAGGTATGGCTTACATTTGAAAGAAGTAATGATGATAATTAATGTCCAGCCAACAGAAGTGGTCAAGATTGGAAGTGCTACTGCTGGAGGTTAAAGGGATTAATTAACAAACTAAAGTGAAGAAAGAGACTGACCAGGCCTTGTCACATCAGTATGACAAAGAAGTATTTTTCAACTATATTCACAACTCTATCCCAAACCTTAGTCCACCCAATGCTGACTTTTCCCATAAATTCAGGCCCTTAACAGTATAGTTAAGCAATTCTGCTTTATGTCAACATGACCTACCCTATTTTAATTATTGTGGATAATTTGCATATGCACTGCAGTAAATATCATGGTCATATGATGCTAGTGGTAGGAGACTAGAACAACATTAAGTTGTTTTTTTTTAAAGTTCAGCCCTATAGATTTACACTGTCTTATCAAGCCTTCATCATCTGAACACCACATTTAGAGGAATAGGACTGATTAGAGGACTGCTGAGTCTGCCTTCAAACAGAGTTCAGTTCATTATGTTCAACAGAGTCACCAGTCATTGTATTATATTATTAAAACATAAATGAATCTGTGTCAATATATTACATGCTATGGATCTATGAAGAAAAGGTTTTGGCAATGTACTACTGGAATAATAGTCCTAAGGTAGAATGGCAATTGTTAAAATTAAAGAAGTTTTCAGTGATTAATAGGGTCTGAGTGGGTGTATATAGATATATGTATGTGTGTGTGTGAACCCCAACTTCTTTTTTCTGATGCTCTGCGTTCCCACATTTACCCTCTGTAAACAGCACACCCTTGCTCATTCCATTCTGTGTGGGTGTCGGTGAAAGTTTTACTAAATAGTAGCACTCTACCACACAGGCTTCATTACTTTTATCAACCAGCATGATCTGGTCTGATGTATTAGTCAAGAGCCGTGATCTATTTTTATGGGCTATCATTATGGTTCTTTTCAAGCACATATTGTAATAATTATTCTCTCAAACAGACTTCTACTAAAGCCCTGTGTATATTCTTTTATCATACATCAAGTGGGGGGCAAATTACTCAGACATGATTTTAGCCAGGTTGTTCCGCATTTGGTCCTCAGAAGTCAGCCCTCATCTTCTCATTTCCCATTCAGTTGTTTTACTAGCTGGGATGTTTTAATGAACCAGGTTTTGCTTGGCAACTGCCATGCTCCAGGCTTCACTTGCATAAAGCTGCCATAGTAGGCGTTCAATAAATATTTGTGGAATGGATAATGAATCCTGAATCATCACAATAAACCGTCTCAAACAGCTTGCTTTTTTCCTGCTCCTAAGGCAGTGGTCCTCAAACTTTTTGGCCCATAGCCAAGTTTTCAGCAAGGCAAGAGGTTGTGCAGGCCAATAATTCCACCTGTTCCCAGTTATGACCAGAGAAAAAAGTCTCACCAGATTCAATGGAAAAAAAAGTCGAAGTTGCTTTTGGTGAAAATAACAGGCTAGTTCTCATTAAATTGCACATGTAAACTACAAATTCATTATGAATTCAGTCTATTAATACTGTCATAGACACTGAAACCACTGGAGTCCAGTCTATTAACCATGTGAGGATTGTGTATGGCACCCAGAGAGGGTCTTTTGAGTAATACTGAGTGAGCCCATATCTTTGGTTAAATACAGTAATAATTGTGGAGGGAGCTGTCTAATCATTTAAGAGTTTCTTTATGAATAGTACTACTTTTTTGTTCCTCTTTTCCAAAGTTCAGCTTCAGTGAACAAATGCCTCAAGAGTCTAATTTCCCTTCAAATTTTTGGAAAACAATACAAAACCCTAATAACAAACCCTAATGTTGTATAAAGCAGCGAGTAGAGGCTTTTCGCAGTCGACAAGGAGATGACAGGTTTGATTTACAATTCAAACCCTAAACTGCCACCGGATTCCGCTGGCCTTTCAATGAGCAAGAAACTCTTTCATTGTTCAGTGTTTGACCCCACAAATTCCTCCTGGTCTAAAATGAGAAATCTTCCACAATGGCTGATGCAATCCATTCAAATGCTTTGCCAGGCATTTAGGGATATACTTGGAATTACCACTTCATGGAGGGCAAGCACTGCAAAACACAAATGCTATAAAAAACTTGTATACTCTATACAAAATACTGTCAATATGTCTTTTAAAACATGAGTCACAACTGAGCCCAAAAGGGAAAACCCACATCATCTGTTTTGCTGGAATCAGCTAAGAGTGATGCCTCTCCGTCTAAATCATGGTAGGCCATTACTGATTCTTAGTTCACAGAAAACTTCAATCTCAGTGGAATGGCCCAAATTTCCCCAATAACAGCAAATAGATTCATACAGTGATATGGGATTTGGAATAGTAAGACACTAAAAATGTTGTTTTAATCTGAAAATCTGGCATGTGCTTTTATCAACGTCAAAAGTTCTGGGAACTCCAAAGCCACAAACGGTAAATATAAATAAGTACGGATAATACTGATACAGCCTCATCAGCTCTAGTATCTTAATCTGGACATGAATGCATTTAGACATCTGAAAGGGGGCTTGCATTTTAATAGTGATGTTAACAACCTCCATCAGCCTTTATTGCCCTACGATGAGCCTGGAATGAGTCGTCTTGGCAAGACTCCTGAAGCAGACCTTCTCTACCCCACTGAGGACTGCA